ATTGACTTTGACTTTGCCACACGGATAGGCAGAAAAAAAATGTGAATAGGGTGCATTAAGTCCATCCACATGTGTTTGACTACTCTTCCTATTCCACTGTTGTTGTTATTGAGTGCCGTCAAGTTGTAGATGACTCATAGTGACCCTATAAATGAAAGACCTAAACACTTGTATAACTTTCATCATTTCTCCAGGTTCATAGGGTTTCCGGAGGCAAGCTATTGTGGAAGAGGATGCCACTCCTCCTTCCAAGCTTGTTTTAATCAGGGAGCTTCACCAAACACTGTCCACTATGGATAACCATTATCACATCTGACACATCAGTGTCACAGTGTGTAGCATCACAGCCACCATGAGTTACCTCTGTACAGCAAATGGACAGACCCGTGCTATACCACTTAGAAGGATGTTTGACCAAAGACGATTCAAACCAGGCCTGAGTGCCTCAGATTAATATCACCCACCTTTGTCGCTAATTTTCAATAAAGCAGTTTCAGCAGCAGGAAGTGAGAAAATCAAGACCAGTAAGGAAAAGGAAACTGTGTATCCTCTGGGGCCAGAGATTCCTGCTACAGCCAGATGACCAGGATTGACATAAAAGTAACAGCAGCCTCAGCAGAGACAGTCATGAGACAGAGCTGACTTGGGATTGCTGTCCCACAGAACCAGAGTCAGAGGCCTTCGCCCACGCTTGGTGGAGGATGGAGGGAAGACTCAAGAACTGTCAGGGTTAAGGGGACTTTGTGACACAGACCTACGCTGTGAGGACACGTGTCAAAGGGCCTGGGACCTTTCCTGAGGAACAGCTGGATTGAGGCCTTATATCCTGCTGCCAACCTGTTAACTTCCCCAATAAACTGCATAATCTTGAATATGTTTCCGTGAAGTCTGCGTGGCCATTGTAACGGATGTGGGATCCAGGAGAGTAGTAAGAGTGGTGCTGGAATGACGAGTAGGTGACGAGCGTGGGAGTCTGTCTGACCTGACAGCAATTTGATGTGTATTGTGGATGCTGTTGACGGAAATAATTCCCCTTTGTGGGGCTAGTAGAAGCCAGACTCAACCATCCCTGTGCTGCCTGCATTTCTTTTTGCACTCAGTGACCCACACATACACACTGAGCAGAACTGAGCAGCCCTTTATCGTTATGAGTTTAATTTTGTCCCCTCTTCCCAGACATGTGCTAGAATCCATACTCTGTTCCTGTTTCAGAAATAAAAATACCTTTGCTATGTTAGCGAGACAACCCCTGATGCCCATGACCAGTGAAAAGATATTGTCACACATGTTTGAGGGATCAGAGAAATAATAGCCGAGGAGAGACAAAGCTTGTGCTTGAACGGAAAACCTGTTCATCCATCTGCCCGTGGGTTCTAGGACAAAGTCTTTCTTTTAAACCACCACCATGACCATGACCACGACCATGACCATGACCACGACCATGACCATGACCAC